GAGTACAAGTTAAAAAAATCTTCTTAATAATAAGAGAAAATATTTTTATATTAATTTATATTTAAAAAATAAAAATTAATTTTTATTTAATTAATTATTTAATTAAAATAATAAACATAATATTGAGGGTGAAATTATGATCTAAATTTGAATTTTTTGGTATAGAATTTAATATCAAAAGAGTACTACATTAATAAACGCATTATTTTTAGAAAATTTTAAACCCAAGAAGAGAATAAAACAGAATTTCGAGAAAATTAGATGGGCTCCTCATGAAAATGGCTGTACGTGGGAATCAAACCCACAACCATATGGTTAAAAATTCACGTGCTCTACCGTTTGAGCTTAAGACAGCTAGATGACAACACATCCCTGCAGAACAATAAAATTAATTTTGCTACAAAAAAGTGGCCTACATCTCACAAAGGAAGCTTCCTTGGGAACATTTTAAATTGAATATCTCTTCTTCTTCTTCTTTTGTTTTGGGCCACTAATTTTCTCATGTTTGATGTTTGAAAAGGCAAAAATCCTTCTTAAACCCCCAAATTTATCCTAAAATAACATTTAAACCTTTAAATTAAAAATGAAATAAATAAACCCTCCAACTTCATTATTAATGCAAATAAACCTTTCTTACAAATGGACCAAACGGTATTTCAAGTTTGATATCACCTTGAAAGCAGAAAAAACCATGAATAAGAAGAGCTTATTTGCATCATTAATAGAGTTTGAGGGCTTATCTGTTTCATTTTTAGTTTAAATACTTAAATATTCTTTTGAGGTAAATTTGAGGGTTTAAGAAGTGTTTTTGCCATGTTTAAGAAGATGACACATTCTTTGCAAAATGCAATTACGTTAGGCATAGAGTTGATCGTTTTCAAACCAAAATAAAAACAAAAGAGTACAAATAACAAACAATGCCTGCAGATTTCACATTAGTCCAACATGAAATTCAGTAATCACGGATATTACGCCTTGAGAGGAACTAATAGCTGCTTTCCTTCCAGCCTCCATACTCCTCTTTAGATTCCTCTTCCTCCTATGAAATTCATGAAATGATGATCATGTCAAAACCCAACAAAAATTATTGCAGCTTTAGTTTCAACTTTCTTCAAATTCCAAATTGTCTCCGTATACTATACGAAAATTATCTCGAGTTTAATCATCCCAAATAGAGTTTTACGGTCAGTTTATTTGGAAATTATATGTTGTTTAGTGGATATAAAACATACATATACCTTGGGGGTGAAAGTAACACCAACTTCAATTTCCCCATAATAATTATTCTCAGCATTTACCACACTGTATTTAGAAGGGTGTAGCTCAGCAGTTCCATTTTCTGAACCCTGTGCCAGCAGCTCCTCCACGTAAATCCTGAAGGTAGAAAATGTATGGAAAGAATTAATGTCACCATTTCTAGTACCTTACTAGTTATACAATCGGTTCCCATTTATATTTGGGCTGCGGATTGAACATCCCTAGCTAAAATGATCTTTGCCAGATATAGATGATGAACCAACAGTCTAAGCAAAAGCAGGGTATGAAAATGATGCAGAATGAATTAATGCTTCCCATAAATCAATCCAATGCCTTACGTGGCTTTCCCAACAAAGTCATCAGCAGAAAATGTGTCCTTGTCCATGATTTTGAGGATGAGCTTGTATTCGCTACCTGATCCTGGATACTCCACCTTGAAGGTAAATCTCTCGTTCCACGTTGGGTTCGAACTGTTGCCTGCAACTTTGATTCTCCTGTTAAGTGCTTATTTTATTTTTTATTTTTTAATACATTAGATTACGGGTTATACAAAAAGGAATAGCCTTTCTCGACTCAAAATTTAAACTTGAAATCTCCAACTTGAAATATCAAGAGTTTCATTAAGTGCTCATTCAAACTAGTAGAAAACTAGACCAAAAAAAAAAAAATGTTTGTTAGGTCGGACGGCACTAAAATTACTAAAATACTCTAATTAAAACTTTTATTTATGTTTATTTATTGATGATAATTTAGTAATTTCACTGTCAAGATTGCAAGTGTATTCCGAGCTGAAATTCACGAAACCCGAAACTAAATGTAATGAAGCAACAATTTTCACATCCTATATATGCAAGTCTGTTCTTTTTTCAACACCCATGGAGATCATTAGACCCAAAAGCACTACATCTCATAATCTCTTGGAGATCCTTAATCAGCATAGACCCATAACACAGCTTAAAGTTACCTCTCATTTATTATAAGGGTTATTTTTTCTTTTTTTTTTTTTTGACCAGGTAGATGGTTAGGAAGTTAGTACAGTTAGTTTGTTAGCAGCTAGAATTTTTTCAAGAAAGTAAACGTTCCACCCCTTCATTTAAGGCGCACAACCATTAAGTCGTAAGTTGGTGGAGTTCACGGCGATGGGAGAGCTCGAAGCCTTGACCTCCGCCTTACCTAAACCCTAAGTTTTACGGGGCCAACTAATTGGGCAACAGGCACAGTTGGCTATTATAAGGGTTATTGAAATCAGGAATCTAAATTATTCGATTCTGTAAATCTGCCTTGGAATACGAGAAAGCTGCATCTCTCCCCATAATTATGCCCTTTATATGTGTTTTATATCTGATTACAATATTGTAATGTTTCTTCCCAGATAATACTGCCGCTACCATTTGGCCCAAAAAATAATTGTCGCAACCAACTAAGAATTTTTAATATTTGATCATATATATACTTTCATTTCTCACATGTCAGTTGGCATTCCATTATTGTTTGATGCATTTTGATTAGTGAAATAAACACATATTTGATAGATTAATAACATTATGTCAAGATGGAAATCTAGGACTACCATTTTCAATGGTTGGATTGAGAAATTAAAAGCTGATAATTTATTCTTACACTTGTAAGTGAATCTAACTCTATATTTAAGAAATAATTTTGGAGTTCGCAAGAGGAACCCCTCCCACTAAATCAAATCCCCACATACAGACGTCACCAGTTATAACAAGTCACCAGATAAGACTCAATGTTTGATAAACATAAATAAAATTATTATATAATAATAAGAAGCTAGTACTAAAAAATAATAATAAAAAAAGGAGGAGGAGAAAACAAAGAAAATGAGTGAGAACCTCTAGCCACGCTGCTCTTCCTTTCTTGACCTTTGTATTGAATCAGAACATAAGGATCCATTTTAACTACATTCACAGATAACAGCAGATGAAAAATTAAAAATGAAAAATAGAGAATTTTTTTGGCAATTTTTGAAACACCCTAATGACAAATATTAGCACTCCATTTAACATTTTAGGAAGAAGAAATGAGCACATTCTTTCCCATTTTATGCTTTCTTTCTCTGTTTTTCCCCTTTTCTGGGCAAGAACCGTTTAGGAAGACTTAAGAAGAAAACTTAAAATGAATTCATAAGAAAGAATGAAGAAGAAGAAAAGAAAACGAACCTAGGAAATCCTTGTTTTCAAGACCTTTGGCTTTCACCAGATGCACCTCCATTAACCCTACAGCCATGGCTGGTGCAGCAAAGACTATGATGCAAAAGCCGGCTCCTTGGCTCTGTTTCCAAAACTGTTTTATGTTCTTTGGGTGACTTTGAACATAACGAGTGGTTTGTTTATAGCAAGCTCGATGATGGCAGACTTGACTTGTCCAATCGAAATAAAACTTTACAGTAACACGGCATCTGACAAAGTCGAGGTCGTACGTACGTGGGCTTAGATGAGAATTGTCTGTTAGCCTCTGTCCAGACCCCGTGTTCAAATACGGTGGCTACTTTGTATACAATGACAAAGGTCTCTGGGAAAATATTTATTTTAAACGTTTTATTTGTTAATAAATTTAAATTTTTATTAAAAAAAATTTTAAAGTTAATATTTTAAGTGAATTTTAAACAAATTTAATACATATATCTAAATTTTTTTAAAAAAATAATTTTTAAATTTATAAAAGTAAAATAATACTTTTAAAATAAATATTTTCTATTCCATAAACGCATTCTAAGCTTTACCAAACAGCTTAGGATGGTTTCCTTGGGGCTAAATTTCGTGAGAAATCTTCTATTAGGAAAGCGATTGGGCCGCATGGAAAGTTCATAGATTTTGCAATGGTAAACTTTTCATATTTGCTTAGTATACATTGTTTATTGAAAATTTTATATCGAGGTGTGCATTCCGAAATAGTTCTAAAGAACCCATGTAGGGGGAGAAATTGGAGAAAACTGCTCCTCAACCAAACGCACAGAGATGGTTAAGCAGTAATCTTCTAGTAAAAATAATACAAATCAGAAAAGAATAAAACAGAGTTGTTTACCTCTTACTGTGCAATTCGAAATTAAATATATTATTGTGAACAAACTAAATAAACTCACTTCAAGCAGAGATCCTGAAGAAATATTCAAGAAACTACAAGAGCAAGTGCTGTTGTGGAATGGAAGACAAAGAAAAGTTGAAGTTTGAACACCATTAACTGTTGGATGATGGGGGTTTGGTAACATAAAATATGAAATCCAGCCATGAAAGTTACAGAGTTTAGATGCAAGAGACTTGAATATCTTCCTATAGATTCCCACAACAGGTAAACAGCAACCAAAAGAAACTATACGACCAGACCTTCAGTTACCTTGCTCCTACTTCCTTGACGCGTCTTGGGGACAGGTCGGCAGACCTGGACCTGGACCCAGAGGGAGATCTACCAGGTGACGACCTCCAAGCATCCCGTGCTTCTTCGGGCCCGTATGCAGGTTTTCTACAAACGACACAAATCTAATATAAGCACATGCAGCCAACTGAAAATAAGAAGATAACCATAGAGTAACAACGAAAAATGGAAAATGTAAACTAATCATGAATATTCAAAGTCACCTTAAAGAAGCTTTGTTTCATCACACACTGATATGTAACTTTACAGTTAACAGGCTTATTTGGACTAAATGTATTTACACTCTTAACAGTGTAAACAACCTGAATTTTCTATGGCTACTGACCAGATGGCTTCATAATCCTGATTTTACTAATGCTATATTTACCATAATGACAATGTCATCCTAGCAGCAATAGAAGAACCAAAATTTCTGCCACCGATCAAATCTGACTAGGAACTATGGATCTTCTTTATGGCATCATAATCGAAAGACAATTGGATGTATTTCTTACATTAGATGGTGAAGCTACTTACTTGCCATAACCATTGTCAAGCTGATTTTGATTGACATTGTCATATCTTGGAGAATAGGATCTGTCATCATAGTAGCCATCTTGCTCTTGTGGAGGACCTCTTTGTGATCTTGGGAACTCTTCATACCTCCTATGTGGGGAGATAGAATAGTCTTCATGCCGTCTTGTGGCAGGAGAGTATGACCTGACAAGATTCAAATGCAAATGCTACAGGCTTCATTGGCATTTGGAGGATGTGTTAGCAATTTCCAGCATTGATACCTTACCTTGAGCGATATCGACTTCTAGAACCTGAAGGGTGGTGAGGCGAGTGTGGAGGGGATATTGAGCGAGACCGAGAATGTCCTAATGAATATTGAATAAAGCAGAAAAATTAGTTTTGGAAAGACTACAGCTATCTTGGCCAGAAAAAAGAGGGGTTAATATGTTATAACAATAATAATACCATAATAAGATCGTCTCTCATAGCCTGGTCCTCCTCTGCAGAATTAAAAGCCAAATGAATCTCCAAAAAAATAAATAAATAAATAAAAGTAGCAAAAATATTTGCTGGGAGAGAGAGAAGTTACCTAACCCTGGCTCTGTCTCGCATCTCCTCAGGCCTTTTCCTATTCTCTGCAGCAACAACAACAGATACCTCTCTCCCAGCAAATATTTTTCCATTCATCCTACGCTGAGCTTCCATGGCATCATATGGATCCACAAACTGCACAAATGCAAATCCTCGTGGTTCCCTGCAAAAAGACAAAGGCTTCACTCAAAGCATGCAACTCTTCATAAAAGCAAACATGGAATGAGGAGAGGGACTTGTCAAAACTAGAATAGCAAGCCAGTACCACAATGTCACTACTTCATCTACCTTCATATACTTCTAAATATGAACTCCATGACACAACCACGAGAGTGGACACCAAATTCACATAAAACAGGCTTAGTGGCTGACCTTTTTCCTTAACAGTCAAGTATGAAAGGCAACTTCAAAAGAGGCAAGTGACTTGAAAATTCTTCACATGCTTGTGAACCTATGAAGCACTTGAAATCAACATTGCCCCAAACTTAAAACTCTCCTCAAGTAGTCTTCAATTTGTCAGGTATCAATCTTCTTCCTCATGAAACTTCTATTGATTGGGTAATTATATAGTTTGGCTTCATAAAGAACATCCTTGATATGACCATTACTTTTAACACCCTTGGAACCAATATTTAGCCAATTGATAAACAGTAGACCTTCATCAAATTTAGGGCTTGGGCTTGTTTTTACTTCAAGCTAACATGCCCCCCTGACAAACCAGTTCAAAATTCAATCCAAAATGAAAATAAAAACAAGTGCTTTAATGGACAGTTCAGAATGCAACTGAATTGAAAGAAGGAAAATAAAACATTTGGCAGTCTGGTCACAACCATGTGTCCATTTCTGCAAGGATAAAGTGAGCTCATGAAAGCTCATCCACGTCACAGAATCCCAAGCAACAAAGTTTCAAAATTTGATGAACTCATATAAACCGCTAGACCCATAAGCACAACCACCAGTCTCTCACTAAGATAAAGACTCAGATGCAGATGCAGTGAATAAAAATAAACACCCAAAAAAAAAAAAAAAACCTAATTAATTCCAAGTGAAGCAAAGCAAGCGAGAATTTCTGAAGCAAAAAAACTAACCCAGTGTAATAGTCTTTAGGAATATAGACATCCCTAACATGTCCAAACCGCTCGAAAGGAACGCGCAGCTCTTCTGGTCTGCAAAGAACAATATAATTGACAATGAAGCAACCTTAGGCATCATTCTCCAACACAATCCACCGTAAAACAGAGCCAAGATGTTTTTTTTTTTTTTTTTTAGGCCGAAATATTAAGGAGCCAAGTTGTATGTAATAAAATAATTTTAAAAAGAAAAAGAAAAAAAGATTGACCTGCAATCAAGAGGAATGTTTCGAACTAGAAGACTCCCCTGATTCTGCTCCCTGCGTCTCCCGTACCCACCACCACCACCACGACCACCGTATCCTCTTCTTGGAGGACTTCTTTCTCGACCTCCATACCCTCTCCTTGGAGGATTGTAAGACGGCGGACTATACCTCCTCATCAAAACAAAGCAACTGTCAAAAGAAAACAAACTGAACTTCTCAGTTTCGTAATTCAGTTAAACAAAGGTAACTATGCATTCTGTCTCTCTTTTTTTTGAATAAAATCAAACAATCAAAAATCCATCATCACAAAGCACTGCAACGATTCTCAAAGACATCTGTTTCGCCCAAAAAAAACGAAGAACCCTAAATAGATGTTGATCTTGTGCAATTCAGAATTAGGGCTTGAATTTGGAGTGGAAAAACAGGAGACGAGAGAGAGATTACCTGCAGAACAAGTCGGACAAGCAGATCTGAAGCAACACTAGATTCTGCTACGAAGAAACGACTTACTTAGTACATATCCAACGTTGACGTTGTTGTTGAGCCGCTGACCTCGGGTTTTAGTCTTTGGACCATAACGGAGCGGGTCGGTCCAATTCTCATGGGCTCTGTTTTTTTGTTGTCTTTTGTTTTAAGAGTCACCTGTTGTACTGTCTATATGCTGTCTCAGATAGAAAAATAAAAATTTTAAATAGAAAAAAGATTTTTAATATTATGAGATTTTATTTTTAATTTAAGAGTTAATATTTTATATTTTAAAATAATTTAAATTATAAAATAATTTTTTCTTGTATTAATAAAATTTTAAAGTATTGTGCAGAGTTGAATCTAAATTGAATTGAAAACATAAGTTATTAGTGAGGTTAGTTTTCTTATATTAGTGCTGCGCCCATTATTTGTTTAATAATTATTATTTTGAATTAATCCTTATCTGTCTTATTTTTAAAAAATTAAGAGGAAAAAAAATAAAAACACTTTAATTCATACTTTAAAAATAAAATATTTTAATTTTTTTAATAATTATTTATTAAAATGACGTAATTTTGAAATAATATTCATCATAATCTTTAAAAGGTAAAGCGAATATACACTATTTTTTTTTTATTTTACAATTATATTTTTTTTGAATAAATTGTCAAGGGATGAATTCAAAGTTCGCTCATGGTGAAAGAGGAATGCACTTCAAACTGGTAAAGTGCCAATAAGTCGGAAGTACAGGTGCTATTTTACAATTATATTTTTTTTGAACAAATTGTCGAGGGACGAGTTCAAAACTCACGAATAAGGGAAAAGGAATGCACTTTAAACTGACAAAGTGCCAATTAACCGAAAGGACAGGTGCTATTTTACAATTATATAATGTGAAAAACCATAGAACAAAAAATTCATAAAATTCTGTTTTTCGAGTCTCAGTTATTAGAAATATAATAATTATATAAATATTGCTTTTCAGTTAAGTTGAAAAAGAAAATCATGGTCACCAGATTGTGCACCACTGATGGCTGGTGATGTGTTGCGCAAGAATTTTTAGCTATTTTTTTATATATACATTGAAAGTCTACTTAAACTAATAAAAAACATGCACTTCACTGATTTAATTATAAATTTAGATAGTGACATCTAATCATTAACTAGGCCTCCTAAAGTTCTATGAAGGAAGTATTTTTTTAAAACAAACCATGTTCAACTTGAACATGGAAAAAGGAAAGATAGGAAGTTGACTTTGTATACAGACAATTCTAACATGTTGGTGGTCAAACATTTAAGCCTAATGATAGGATGGTGATTTCTTTGGGAGTAAAGGAGATGCTGGTTCTCCTCCTGTTTGTCAAGAGCCATCAGCTTCCCACTGCGGCCAGCTTTTTGGTTGGGAAGTATCCAGCAGGTATTCGGTATTCAGTATTCATGCACCATGGACCAGAGAGAGACCTTTGTTGTAGGCAATGGCAGAGCAGCAGTAAAAGGCCATCTATCTTGCAAATTACAACAGATTGGAGAAAATAGGATGCTAACTCTGCACTACACAAAAAAGCGGGTACTGAATCCAGCAAGACCAATCTGTGGCATCAACAAGCAACTGCAAGATCTGGCTGAGATTCGGAGCTGTCAGATTCAGTGATCAAAGGATCTTTTTGGAACTCATTTCTTAGCTGACCGCAAGCAGCACTCGCATCCAGGCCCCTTGTTTGACGTATGCTAACAGTTATTTTACGGGACTCTAGTGCACCTGCAAATGCCAACATCTGCCAAATGGGAAGAACAATATTTTAAGTCCCTAAACCTTAAGAATGATAAAGTGAAGGGTTAAGGCACATCTTCTAACTAAGCATGGGAAAATGACTGATGCACAGCATACCGCTTTTTTGTATGGTCGCCTAAACTCAGAGCCCTCTATTGGATTAAAAGGAATCAGATTCACATGATAACCACGTCCCCACTCATGCAGTAATTCGGCAAGTTCTGTTGCATGTTCTACTTTATCATTGACTCCAGCTGTCCAAAATAATTAAAGTTTATTGCAAGCTCTTTCCGTAGGCTTCTTAAGGATTCAAGTCAAAGCTTTATACCTAGAAGTGCATACTCAAAAGATACTCGGCGACTGGTTTCTTGGAAGTAGTCCCTGCAATCCTTCATGAGTGCATCCAGGGGGTAGGATTTTGCACTGGGCACAATTGTTTCTCTGAGTTTCTGGTTAGGTGCATGCAAGCTGATCAAGAAAGTGAGTATGAATTCGGCATTAGGAAATCTTTAATACTGAATAATGAAGTTCAACAAATAGCTTAATCAGTTAGAAACAATGATTTTCCCATCCAATGATTCATACCATAGGGGTTTTTAATCAAAAAATGTTTACTGTCTAGAAAACACACCTGACAGCCAATGTTGACTGAAGCTTATGAGAAGCCAGTTTCTTAATAGTGTTAGGAACTCCAACAGTGGAAATTGTGATCATTCTTTGCCCAATTTGCACATCCTGAAGAAAGAGCAACAGATCAGAGAAGAGGACACATTGAAGCCACCAAGAGGCATTCATCACAACATCTCAACAGTGACCAGAACGCAGGAGCCAATAGATTCCACATTCAAGAAAAACAAAATGTCATGCAGTGTATGTCAACAAAAAATGAAGTTCATCCATTACAAGACACTGTCTAACCAGTTGTCAAATGCACCTTATTCAAGCAACGGTGTGCTTCCAATACTGACTTCAGGTTCAACATGGGCTCACCCATTCCCATAAATACCACATTGGTCACTCTATGCTTGAAGATTTCCTCAATAGCCAATACCTGTACATATAGATGTATTCATGTATTATAAAAGTTTCATGCTTTAATACATGTATGATAGACAAACACTGAAGCAGCCAAACATTCCTCTTTTTTGCAATAATCCAACCATTTCAATTTATAGCAAACTTTGACAAAAGTAAGACGGCAGTTACAGACCTGCTCAACAATCTCATGCCTCTTGAGATTCCTAGAGAACCCACCCTTTCCAGTTGCACAAAACGAACACCGCAATGGGCAGCCAACCTGAAGTCAAGACCCAAGAGTAAAGTGCAGCCAAGAAAAATTATTAGAAAAAAATTATAAAAGCAAACAACATATTCAGCAGCTGATCCTTGGTTGAAGAAATCACCTGTGATGAGACACATGCAGTAAGGCGCATTGAACCATTTTCATCTTCAACTGGTATGCCAACAGTTTCAATCAATCTGTTGTCCTCCAATTTTATCAATAACTGAAAGATCAGCAAAGGGGTGATTAAGAGAGTTGCACACAATAACAAACTACCAAAGTTTACAGACAGACAAAAAATTCCACCTGAATTAATCAACATGTGACATAAAAATTCACATTATTAAGAACTTCATTAATTGTGAACCATTTAACAGCAACAAATTCACCATGACTATAGATAATCCTCGATGTTACATAACAAAAGTCCACAATCATTTCTCTCCATAACTCAAATGCTCCAAAACCAAGAGAAACAAATGATGCAAATTAAATCGCAAAATATCCAGTTAAAAGAAGACAATTTTTTCAGGCAAAACAATAATATGATTGGGACAATCAGATACTTGAATGAATTACTAGTTAAATGAACCTCTCTCTCTTTTACCTTAACAGTGCCATCAGCTGCTGTCACAGTGCGATAAATAGGTGACCGTCCTACCTTCCATCCAGCTTCTCGAAGGCCATTCCTAAATGCTTGAGGCACTTCATATTATAGCCAAAAAAAAAATCCAAAATAAGAAGAAAATTTACTAAATATATAGCTTAAAAACACCAAAAAATTCAGCATAATAGTGAGGATGTAATTTAATTTACGTTGGCTAAAATCCTCAATGTCTTTCACCTTTCTCTTGTAAAGTAGATGGTGTAGTTGCTTTCCTCTGTAACTTTGCTGCATGATTTCAAAAGCCAACAAAGAAAACAAGAAAAAAAATTACAGAAAGATGATTTCTTCCTCCTAAATTCTATCACTTTTTGCTGAATTATGAGAAATTGAGTGAAAATCTTCCGTTTTAGCGACAAAAACGACTAATTATCTATCATTCATGATAATATTGTTATTACTACCTGGCCAAATTCGACGGCGAGCTGCTGCAGATCCTGCTCAGTCATGCCGAGCAGCGCATGGGGGTCGATGTTAGGTGATCGTGAATTAGAGGGAGTGGTAACGGAGACACGAGGGGAAGGCGCGGCCACGGCAGTGGCGGCTATGGAGGAGAGCGGGCGCCGGCGCACAAAACGTGGGAGAGGCACAGAGCACACATGCTGAAGCAGGGCCATTCTACTTGCGATCATCAGGCTCCCCTGTTCTTCGAAGGATAAAGAAAGCTATTGCAGGAAAAACCTCTGCTAGCTGCTCTCCAATCTCCATGGCAGCCTAAAACCTCACCCGTTGGTGCAAAGACATTACTACCCCGAGAATTATATATTTCTTTTTAATTTGATTTTTTTTTTTGAGTTTTTCTAACTCGCAGCTTGAATGCATTATGATTTTTTATTACTAATTCGTATAAAAAATTAAGAAAGTAAATTTTATTTTTTAATATTAATGTCATTTAAAATAATTTAATTAAATGGTTAATAAGATGTAAGTTAATTTTTATTTTTTTATAAATTAATAGCAAAAAGTACAATAAATATTCTATTAACTTATACTCTAAATGTACAATTTAGAAATTTCATTTTTTTTTGTACTTGTTTTCACATATTTTATTTCTAAATGAATGATTTAAAATACATTTTTTATAAGAAATATTTAGTGCAATCTATAATATGCTAAACTAGTTATTGAACGAGGCTGTTTGTACTTATCGCCATTTAAGGGTTTTTTTTTTTTTTTTTTTACAATTTAATGCAGTATCAACTATAAAAAATGAACATTTTTTTACATTTACAAAAATTACACAGGAGTTATTGAAGTTTTATGGCTAGTGATAAAAAAACAAAAAAGGAGTTTTTTTCGTTTTATTTTATCCATAATTTTTTTGTATTTTTACAAAATAAATAAATAAATATTTTATCTTACATCACAAAATCTCAGTTCTGGGGGTATGCTCAAAGGATGAGTGAAAATACAGTTCTGGGGGTATGCTAGAAGGATGAATGAAAATAATAAACTCAGATATCATAAAATTGATGAACTGTACAAATGATCAATAGCCGGCATACAATGCCTAGAGTTCAATTTCAATAGTATGATATCCATTCATATTACATCTGTGCAAAAAGAGTAACTCCCATGTATCATGCATTTTCCTCATTCATGAAGTACAGAAAGACGCAGATGGGCCAGTAGAAGAGGGAGATCTTCAATGAGAAGTACCATTGGCAGTGTTCCCTGGAGGACCCTTTCCATCAGAAATACCATTAACAGTGTTGCCTCGAGCATCATTCCTTGAACTATGATCAGAAGTTTGGGTGGCTGCATTGTCAACATCAGACTCCAGATCATGAAGTTGCTCTAGTGCTTTCACTACCGTGTTCATGCTTGGCCTGAGCTTAGGTTCTGTTGATAGACATTGAAGTGCAACCATAGCAGCTATCTTTGCTGCATCAAGCGAGTATTGGCCTTCAATACGAGCATCCATAATTTGGAGACTTTTGCGTTTGCTTTTAAGGTAAGGCTTGGCCCAATCAACCAAATTCTGTTCTCTCGATGGTCTGTTCTTGTCATATGCTCGCTTCCCAGTTAACATTTCAAGAAGAACCACCCCAAAACTGTATACATCACTTCTGGCAGTTAAATGACCTTCAGAACAAGAACATCAACAATTTAGAGAAATTTCCAGATAGATGGTTATTCAGTAAGGCATAGGAGGGGGAAAGTTTAAAAGACCTGTTGCCATATATTCAGGAGCAGCGTAGCCATAGGTACCCATGACCCTTGTAGAAACATGGCTTTTATCGCCTGTTGGCCCATCCTTGGCCAAGCCAAAGTCAGATAGTTTTGCATTATAGTTCTGTCATTGGGAAAATTAGCATGTCAGAGAACTGAGATATAAGATAAATCTAAGTTAGATTTCAGTAAGTAAACATGTTTGCATACCGAATCAAGCAAAACATTTGAGGCTTTCAAGTCTCTATAGATAACTTTTGCTTGGTCACTATGAAGAAATGCTACGCCCTTTGCAGCACCAAGAGCAATCTTAATCCGGACATTCCAAGAAAGAGGTTGAACATAAGCATTCCCTGTTCCAACAACACCGATCAACATAAATAATAAATTTAAAGGGGATGTTTCTGTCACTTTCTGGTTATGAATGTATAGTCACTCCTTGAAACAAAAAGACTTGATTTATTGACTAAATAAAGGAAGGTAGAGATGTTAATAACTTACTTCTAAACAGATGATTCTCCAAGCTGCCTTTGGGCATAAATTCATAAACCAGAAGCCGGTGTTCATCCTCCAAGCAGTAACCAATCAGTTTCACAAGATTAGGATGATACAGTTGACTCAGGTAGTTGATTTCCGCCTAAAAGAGAAATTGCATAATGAAATCAGTGAATCATGCTATCTGTAAGTTATTATTTGCACAAATACTAAGAAGAAGAACCTCTAAGGATAATCTAATGAATCTATTCCAATTGCAGTGTCATTCAATCAACCATTTGATAGCATTTTTAAAGTACCAAGTGCAAATCTATGTGAAAAATTTTACCCTATAAAGAAAAGAATCATAAAAGTCCATTAAAAGAAAGGAAATGAAAGTTTTGATCATGCAAAAGAGGCAAGAAGCAGAAGAAATGAAACTCACCAGCCATTCCTGATGGCCCTGAAAACCTTCTTGGTTAAGCTTCTTCACGGCAATAACCATCCCAGTCCCTGGCTTGGAAGGTGCAAAGGAATGCTCATCAATCCAACCCTTAAAGACACAACCAAAACCACCTTCACCCAAAACACTATCTGGTCGGAAGTTCCTGGTGGCTGTTCTCAGTTCATTAAAGGTGAAGCTCTTCAAATTAGAGGACTGTAAGATCTCACCCTCTGTCCGACGAGGCACTGGGACGGATAAAAGGTTGCTGCTTGAACAACTCAGATAATTCCCATCCATGCTACTGTTCTTTGAAATCGCTCCTGAAAACATCAATATCATAAATATCTTGTAAAATGAATAGAAATGATAATCAAAAACCAAACCACAAAAGAACAAAAGAAAGTTTTACAATTTAATGTTAGCTAAATAAGAAACTTAGCATTCATCATCTAGTTCTACTTTATTTTCCCAAATCCTCCAAAGAAATCAAAACGAGCATAACTAAATTGACTTGGGTTAAATATTCCATTTGAGAGATAGAAATTGAAGAAGGAAACTGAATCAGAATCATAACATGGTAACAACCATAATTAAAAAAAGTGGGCTTGGCTGAGAAGAATATAATCTATTGATGTATCACCAAATTTGTCTAATCAAGAACTCCCATGATTCCATCTTGGTTAATGTTTATTCTGCTTCTAAAAAAGGATAATAAACAGCTGCGCCAAACTCAAGTCTTCATCAATCCAAAAAAACCCAGAATCTATGGTAAAATTCTATACCTTTTGAAGAACCCAACAAAAAAGTTATGATCTTTCAAGGAACAAGAAAAAACATCATCTGCTAAGAGCTCAATTCACTCACGCAAAACAACAAACACATAATCTTCAACCAAAACACATCTGAAACATGCATAAAGATTAAAGAAGAAGATGACAAAGATCAAGACCAATCATACCATGGTGCAGAGGACTCTCAGCTTTGATTTTATTAACACTAAAGCAACACCCCATGAACACAGACCTCCACTTTCCTCACTCCTCAAGAAGAAAATGAAGAAAGAAAAACAGATGGAAGAGCAAGACGGAGAATCAGAACCAGCGGTGACTTAAACAAGGAAAATATTCAGGTGTGAAAGCAGAGCTTTTATGGAAAGCGTTAGCTGTGCTCACGAGGAATTGAAAATTTGACTGAAGAAAAAGGCATGTGTGTATATATAGAAAATATAGTGAATGTGGGAAAACAAAAGATTGAGTTAAGAAGAAAGAAGCCTGTAAATAAATCCGTGGGAGGCTGGATTTTGGAGTTTAGTGCTCTGTTTGGGTGCATTAACAAAGTGCTGTTTTTATCATATAAAGTGAAAGGGTTGACTTGGACCAACCATTTGGATGAGGGTCCTAAATGAGGGTCCAAGGAGGGTGAAGTTGCAATCATTTTCTTGGTTTTTTTTTTCCTAATTAATTTAGAAATTATAAAAAATTAAAAAATTTTAATAATTAAAATGTTAATTATAATAATAATAAAATTTAAATATTCTAAACAAATAAATAGATAAAAAAAGATTTACTAAAAATATTGCAATAACTTCATAGATTCTAATTGTTACTCTTCTCTTGATCTTGTTCAATTTGATAATTTGTTACTTTGTTTGCCTTTTAAAACTTAAAAAATTTGGTAGTTTGTTGGCCCCATTGAGTCTTGACTTTCATTCACATAAATTGGTAGACTGTTTTATTAAGCATGCAACGATTTTTCAACATAATTTGGTGGCCGCAATTGGATTGGTGAGTAATTGCTAATGTCCAATGATTATTACAATTTAGATTAAAAAAAAAAAAGATCATGTTTTAAATGAACTGACATAGTACGTAACACATAAAAAATATAAATGCATACCTTCAATTTACAAGATCATTAAACAAAAAATCAATCCTAGTTTAGTCACTTTTTGAACCTTCCCTTTTGGGTGCTAAACATTGTAGTAATGAGTAATGACCTTTTTTTTAATGTTTTAATAATAAAATTAATAAATATATGAAAATCACAACGTCACAAGATGTCTTTATTTTTTAGATTATTTAAAATTAACGTTTTTAATTTCATTAGTGAAGCCATGAAGTGTGAATGAGAGCGTCATGACGTGGGCTGATGTGCCTCGTGGTTATCATGAGTCGGGCAATTCACGGCCGAATGTAGGGTCCAAAAAAACGCCTTCTAGAGTTCTAGATTTATCAAAAATAGAGGCCTTCTAGATTTAGGGGCTGTTCAGCGGATAACGATGCTTATGTCGCGAAGAGTCTTCGTTTCTGAATTAAATTGGAAAATTAAGTTTGTTAGGTACGGTGATAAATTTAAAAAAAAAAAAAAAAATTAAAGGGTGATTTTTATTTAATGATTAATTTTATGTAATTTAAATTGTATAAAATATTTTTATTTTTATTTTAAGGATTTCCAAACAGTTCCTTGATATTATTATATCGGATGGAGATGAAGGGATGGGTACTGTTAACTTTCATTCATTTTCAATTTAAAGGTCAAAAGGCGCTTTAGAAGAAAGCTGAAAAAGATTCCGGTAAAGTACTGTTTTCTCCACCCACAAGCCACAACATGTTACTACATTATGATACAATAAAGTTGTGCCTGTGAATCAATTTGGATTTTGTTAGATGAGTGGGGGACTCTAAATCTCCTCTTCTTTTCTCCTTTTTCTCGTGAAAATTTTCAATAGACAGCAATGGAAAAGAGAGAGAGATAGAGAAAAGGGAATAAAAGTTAGGAGATGGGAATCAAAAGCATCAACATTCTCTTAATGATATCTAGGTGGGAAAACAAGAAACTAGGCAAAGGGAAATGGATTTTCTACAAGTGGAAAATCGACATTAGAAAAATGAAAAAAGGGTCCCGTGACTGACTGCCTGATCTTTATTTTCTTTTCTCTTCTTCCCCCAACTCTCTTCTTGACTTTGGATGCTCAGAAAGACGCACGCATACATCATCCATGATGTAACAACTTTGTATGCTGATGGCAAAATAAGCAACAAATATATGGTAGTTTTTAAAACATAGTTTTGTAATTAAGCTAAACCAATATGGAGAAGAAGATGGACCTCTCTCAATTGGTCCCCACCACTTATTTTAACAAGTGACACTTTCTCGTTACGCAGCCTGGAAAAATGAGTTTAGATTATGACTTCGATTGAGAGTGTTGTATTGTAAGTGGAGGTTTATTTTTAGTATTTTTTAATTGTAAAAATATATAAAATATTAATTAAAATTAATTATTTATAATAAATTTACATCTTAAATACAATAGTTCAGTAAAAAGTGTTGTGTAAAATATTCTTAATCCAAGCTCAAATAAAAGAAGTTCTAGAAGCCATAATCAAAACACTGACTTCCATCCAATTTTTCTGAGTACTTGATTTCTTTTCCCATTTGCTGGCGAGGAAAGTGGTTTCGATTAATTTATTAAGAGTTTCAACTTCTCCAATCAGTTTAGTATATGAATAATTGATGCACATTGCACACACAGAATATAAATCAAGTTTTACTTGGGTGCGATCGACTCAAATATCTTGAAAAGAATTCAAGAACATCAGCAATTATCAGTCCTCATTGCCAACTTTGGTTAAGCTTGCAATGTCAAAATAGGTGGCACGATGAGTAGAAAACTGGACAAAAAGTTAGGCTATCTAAACTGCTCAATTAGCATTCCATTTACTTGCCTGGGGGAGTGCTTCACGGAATACTATATATATCTAGAATTAAGTTGACAATGAGTTACATAGGGGCCCCGCGGCCATATTGCATATGCCTTAAATTAATATTGCTTTAACACTCAACTACTAGAAATATTCAAAGCGGTGAAAGCTTTTACATGATTCTGCCTACATCATTTGCAACAAAAGCATGTCCATTGATGACCAAGGAGATAGTAAACACTTATCAGCTCACAAAATGTTGTTTGAGGTTCAACAAAAATAAACATATATCTTATTCGCAAAAGAGTATGACTAAAATCAAACAAAACGGATACCATACCTCCCCAGATAAAACGTTCTGTTAATGCAACTACTCTTGCTTGATGCTCTACTCAGGCATTTTTCTTCAGCTCTGCAGACTTGATAATATCAATGAACTCCGGCTGAAGAAAAGAACATAAAATGGGGCTATTGTCAAGACATGAAACCGAAGAAATTTTTCATACCAACAAAACAAAAGATGAAGAAGAAGAGGGGAAGCAACATTTAAATTACCTTCAGAGAAGCTCCGCCAACTAAGAAACCATCTACATCAGGCTGAGCTGCCAGTTCCTTACAGTTTGCACCACTGACAGACCCTGAAACGTGCACCAACGTAAAAGATGAACAATGAAAGGAGAGATTGACAGGGATAGGGTAAGAAGATTAAAATGATAAAAATGCAAAGAAAAGTGCGGATGCTCAGCATCTCAAAATACCTCCATAAATAATCCGGGTTGATGCAGCAACTTGAGGACTGACATTCTTTTCAAGCCATTTCCTGAGCTCAAAGTGCACCTACAATATAGACAACAACTTTGCATAAATTACTAGACACTGTGAACAATTATATGGAATGGAACACAAGTTTAATCATGTACACAGGGATGTTCAAAAGAAGTTAGAGAGACCGTTAAGAAGGTTTCAATCAACAAAGCCTTACTCACCTCCTGAGCCTGAGTTGGAGTTGCAACCTTCCCAGTTCCAATAGCCCACACAGGCTCATAGGCCACAACAACATCATTCCAGTTTGACACACGTTCTGCCATTTGAAATATAAGCAGGAAATTAGTCAAATCCTTGGATGTCATTGAAGTTAGCATGCAATTGATGATGCAAATGCAGAATTAATATAAAAAAGGTGTAATTAACCTATAGCATCTAGCATTTAATTATAGTGATTTGAATCTGATAATTCCTCTTGGAGTCAGCAAATAAGTTGAAACATAGACATCAAAATGAGAACCAACACATTCCCTGAATAAGGCAAATAAAATAACTAATAAACTAGGGATAAATCATTAAGGCAATCCCCTCATGTGGTGTGATAGGAGCTGGAATGTGCAATCAAAGAACAATTTCATCATCTTACATGTGTCCAAATAACCCCAACAATTATGACTGAAATTATAAAATTAAGTTATTAGCACATAAGCTGCAGTTGGGAAGAGAAATGATTTCAAGACAAAATAATGCAGAAACAATTCAAGTATTAACAATCATACTGTAGCAAGTAACAATTCAAAAATACGCCAGAAATGAGACAACTGCACCATGAGTTTTACAAAATGGAAGGAAAGTGCTAAATATGGACCTGCAATTGCTTTAGTTTGGGCAGCAACAACATCCATTGTTGATCCTGCTTCACGCTGCTCAAGAGTCTCACCAACACAAGCTATTACCTTAATACCTTGAGAAAGTGCATATGCAACCTTATCTCCAACAAACTAAAATACAAGGCGCAACAAATTGTAAATGTCAATTATGTGTTGGAAAAAAATTTGGGGGTGTTTGGGAACCTCCGAGACAGAGCCAGTTTGTCATACAAACTCTGTTTTTAATTTTTTCAGTTTGCTAATAGATGTCTGGCCAAAGAACCAGGTATAGAATTAAAGCATCTGGTTTGCATCAGTTCTAGCTTAGACCATGCTGTAATATAAAACTCTTAGAATCTTTGGGACCTAACTACACTGGTTCTGAGGTTCCCAAACAATCCCTTAATGAAACATCAAAAGCTAAATAAATGTGAAGCAGCAAGCAACACCATAGTTAGATATCAAACAATGAAAAGTAGCTTACCCCATTTGATTCACCCAGGAGAAGCCTCCTCTCAGAGTGACCAAGAATAACCCAAGGAATGCCCAAATTAACAAGCATCTCCGCACTAGAAGTAGAAATATGAAAAACATCAGTAGTAACCATAAAATCAAGTTAAATTGATAATCAAAGTCACAATGTATCTGAAAAGTTTTTCCCCACTAAATTTCTTCAATCATCAAAATCCAATTTCTTTACTCTTAGGTGGAATTGTGGGACAGGGTGTTCGATGCCTTAAGATTCAGAGAAAAACTCTACAAACAAGTTAACAGGTCATATTGTATCCATTCAGACACAGTAAGCACATACATACCTAACCTCACCAGTGAAAGCACCTCCTTTCTTCACCCAACAGTTTTGGGCAGCTACATGGAAATCAGGCCTCAGTGAACCTTTCACCAATGGAAGGAATACGAATGGAGGACTAATCACAACCTCTGCATGTCAATAAAATCTTTTAAGTTTCAACACATGCACTGATTCTTGCATAATTAAATAGTTTTTAAAAATTAAAATTATATGAGAAAATGTGGGTTGAAGCCAGACCCCCAAATCAAAGACCCAGAATAGTTCTCAGAGAGAGCAGACATGTTGACCCTAAATTCAGTTTCTGTGCACATGGCCATGCTACCTTCAATCTAATCTCCAGAGCATCAGCTTATTGTACACATTTACTTAAAATTAATTCCAAATTCCACAAAAAAAATTGTATCAAACAGAGATTATCCAGGATCTGATTAATATTTGCTTACCCACAACATCCTGCGACGGCACTTTTCCTTCATTGAGCGTGTTCACTATCTTCTTAACCTCTTCCGTGGTTCCATTCTACATGCAATCGCAGTTTCATCATCTCAGCTTGAAATTCCATAACCAAACATCCATAAACTAAATCATTCAAA